ATTGGGGGGACTGGGGACATCGGGGGGATTGGGGACACTGGGGAACACTGGGGGCATTGGGGACACTGGGGACAGGACCTGTACGGGCAGGTGGCACAGGCCACCATCGTGGACGAGGGAGGTGGGTGACACCTCTGGGGACATCGGGGGGATCAGAGACATTGGGGACACTGGGGACACTGGGGACACTGGGGGGATTGGGGACACTGGGGACACTGGGGACATTGGGGACGCTGGGGACATTGGGGACAGGACCTGTATGGGCAGGTGGCACAGGCCACCATCGTGGACGAGGGAGGTGGGTGACACCTCGGGACACTGGGGACATCGGGGGGATCAGAGACATTGGGGACACTGGGGACAATGGGGACATTGGGGACATCGGGGTTCTTGGGGACATTGGGGACACTGGAGGCATTGGAGACAACGTTGAGGGGATTGGGGACATCAGGGACATTGGGAGTTTTGGATTATTTGGGACATTGGGGACACTGGGATTATTTGGGTCATTATTGGGGGGACACTGGGGACATTGGGGATGTTGGGAGCATTGGGGCCACTGGAGACTTTGGGGACACTGGGGACACTGGGGACTTTGGGGACACTAGGAGCATTGGGGCCACTGGAGACTTTGGGGACATTGGGGACATTGGGGGAGTTCGGTGTTTTGGGCCACGAAGGATGGGGACATGGAGAACACAGGGGACATTGGGGACACTGGGGGACATTGGGGACCTTGGGGACATTGGGGACATGAGGAGAATTCGGTGTTTCAGGCCACGAACGATCCTGAAGGACACTGGGGACATTGGGGACACTGAGGACACTGGACACTTTGGGGACATTGGGGGAGTTTGGTGTTTCGGGCCACGAACGATCCTGAAGGACATTGGGGACACTGGGGACAATGGGGCCACTGGACACTTTGGGGACATTGGGGACACTGGGGACACTGGGGACACCGGGGGACACTGGGGACACTGGATACTTTGGGGACATTGGGGACATTGGGGGAGTTTGGTGTTTCGGGCCACGAGCGATCCTGAAGGACACTGGGGACATGGAGAACACAGGGGACATTGGGGACACTGGGGGCAATGGGGCCACTGGACACTTTGGGGACATTGGGGACATTGGGGGAGTTCGGTGTTTTGGGCTATGAAAGATCCTGAAAGACACTGGGGACATTGGGGACACTGGGGACACTGGGGACACTGAGGACACTGGGGACATTGGGGACACTGGGGACACTGGGGACATTGGGGACACCGGGGGGCACCGGGGCCATCCCCGAGCCCGCTGGCGGTGTCCCCAGAGGTGTCCTCGCTGGCTGGGGACGGCTCGGAGGGTGACAGCGGCGGTGGCAGCCCCGAGGGCGCGTCCCCGGGCGCGTCCCCGAGCGACCTGCGCTTCCACCGGCTGCACGGCGCCAACGCCGTCATCACCAACGGCGGCCGCACGGCGCTGCGCCAGAACTGCCGCTCCGAGTTCAACGACGCCATCGTCATCTCCAACCGGTGAGCGGGCCCAAAGATCCCGGAATTCCCGAAATTCCCGAAAAAATCCCCAAAAAAATCCACCCTGAAACAGCGAAATCCCAAAAAACCGCGTTAGAATCCCAAACCCATCGAGATCGTCATCCAGAAGATGGTGGATCGATGGTCGGGCTCCATCGAGGCCGGTGAGGGGACACGGGGACAGCTGGGGACACTGGGGACAGCTGGGACAGTGGGGACATTGGGGGGATTGGGGACATCAGGGACACTGGGGACAGGGGGAGCACCAGTGTCGGGGACATTGGGGGGACTGGGGACATTGGGGACATCGGGGACATTGGGGACTGCAGGGACACTGGGGACATTGGGAGGATTGGGGACATTGAGGACATCTGGGGACATTTGGGGCGTTGGGGACATCGGAGACATTGGGGGACATTTGCGGGGACTGGGGACATTGGGGACATGTGGGAAATGTGGGGGATTGGGGACAATGGGGACATTTGGGGACATCGGGGACATGGGGGTCACTGGGGACACTGGGGGGGATTGAGGACATCAGGGACATCGGGAGGATTGGGGACATTGGGGGCATTTGGGGCATTGGAGACACTGGGGACATGGGGGACATCAGTGACATCAGCATGAAGGTGACACCGAGGGATAGGGAGGGACCTTGGGGACAGCCAGGGGGGCGCAGGGTGACCGAGGGGTCCCCGTGTCCCCCCCCAGGCGTCACCGCCATCCGCCCCGAGGACCTGGAGTTCCCCAACACCATGACGGACATCGACTACGACACCTGGATGCTCAGGTGGGGACACCGGGGACGCTGGGGGACATTGGGGACACGGGACACCGGGGGACATTGGGGACACTGGGGACACTGGGGACACCTGGGGACAGCAGGGACAGCAGGGACCCCTGGGGACACCGGGGACACTGGGGACACCTGGGGACACCTGGGGACACCCGGGGACACTGGGGACACCTGGGGACACTGGGGACACTGGGGACATTGGGGACACCTGGGGACACTGGGGACACTGGGGACATTGGGGACATTGGGGACACTGGGGACACTGGGGACACCTTGATGCTCAGGTGGGGACACCTGGGGACACTGGGGACACCTGGGGACATTGGGGACACTGGGGACATTGGGGACACCCGGGGACACCTGGGACACTGGGGACATTGGGGACACCCGGGGACACTGGGGACACCTGGGGACACCTGGGGACACGGGGGACACCTGGGGACACTGGGGACACTGGGGACACCGGGGGACATTGGGGACACTGGGGACATTGGGGACAC